CTGAGGCCTGGGAGGCTGCAGCCCCCCAGGCCTCGTGCCCCCCCGCGCCGCTCGCTGTTTTTCGGCCGGCCGCCCGGCGGCGGCGGAGGCGGCTTCCCCCGTCCCCCCGGCTCTTCCCCCCCACCCCGCCTTCGTAGCGAGGCCTCGGGAGGCTTCAGCCACCCGGGCCTCACTGTCCCCCCGCCGCCCTGCTCCCCGGCCGCCTGGCCACCGCTGGCGGCGGCGGCTCCCCCCTGCCTCCGTAGCAAGGCCTCGGGAGGCTTCAGCCACCTGGGCCTCGCTACCCCACCCGCCGCCGCCGCCCTGCTCCCCGGCCGCCCGCCGCTTGCCTTCCAAGCGGCGGCGGCGTTCACAGAGCGATCCGTGCGCATGCGCACGGAACGCTCTTGCACTTTCGGGGGGATTTAAACATCCCCCCGAAAGTTTTTTCAAGTTTTAGGATTTTTGTGCACCCCTGGGGACTGCCCCAGGAGTGCACAGACCTCCCCCTGCCCCCCAAGTGCGGATATAGCGATCCGCACGGAGGGGGCAACTTGGCTATTAGATATAGTGATACCTCATCCTAGTAAAACTTGATGCCGACTTAGAATTTGCTTTCCTAAACCCAAGCCCCAGATTTAACCCCCTATATTATGCTGCCTCTGGGTCAATGGACTCCATAAAGCCTGGGCAGAAAGAGTATTATATGACAGAGTATAAACATTTGGGAGCTTAAAATTTCACCACCAAAAGCTGTGGCTTCTTATATGCCCCCAATGCCAGCTGAATTAAAACCTGCCTCCGAGAAGAAGGATTTACTGAGGCTGAATGCCATCTGCAAAATAATCCCGTCCACACTCATTTGCTTTGCTTTTGTGCCCCTATTGCTTCTTTTTTTCTTTCTGAATGCCTTTTGCTCCCTCTTGTGGTCGCTTCAATATTACATCCTTGCATTTCCGAGATATTTCCCTGCAATTTAAAACCCTAACCCTACATTCACCACATTTTCTTTAAATTATCTCTTAGCTGCAAATTTGAAATGAAAAGCCCATTCACGTGATCAAAGTGGTGTGCCAAAGATGCAACTTAAGGGGATCCTCTCAGGGCTCAGGCCAGAATGAAACAGATGTGTGGGTTAACGGTACTTTGATTATTGACAAATTTGAGAGCACCAGTAATGCTTGAAAGGATCCTTAGCTTCTCACAGTGAAAAATGCTAAGGAATATCATGCACTCGGCACTCTGGGTGGCCCCCAGAAGTTAGGTGGAATGGGATTGTGGGAGATGAGCTAGTCAAGCAGTAGTTTTTAAAGCGCACACACACACTTATACTTGTTATATAACTTCTAGTTAAAAGGTATTTGTAAGAGCACCATGCATTACATCGCCCCACAAAGGCAACGGTCCCACAGCATCAGAGGTTACGAGCATCAAAAGTCAGCATTAGTAAAAAAAATAAAAAAACCCAAACAAAAACAAAAGAAGATTTTATTTACATACAGAAGACAAGGATGCCAAGCCAGAAGAGCCGCTAAGATTGGTTAGGGAACTTGGGCTCTTCTTGATCCTGCCAAGTGAGTAACTGCTGTCTGACGCTGTGTCTGTCTCTCTGTCATCACTCTACAAGATATCACAGAAGGAGAAAAAGAAAAGAGTCTGTGGCAGGCGTTTGAAAAAAGTGGCGAGGAACAACAGCCATGCGGCGCCGTTTCAAATGAGCTTGTGGCACTCGGGCGGCAGCATCGCTGGGCAAGCAAGTTAAAGGAAGGCCTCAAAAATCGCAGGCATGCTTTGCATGCAAGGATTTAGGTCTGGTAAAACAAAAAAGAGGCGAGATTAAGCACGAAAAACAACCCTGTGTTTTAACCAGCTAGACAATTGGGGTGGGGGGGCACTGGGGGCATGCCGTCACTTAAGACATCAGAAAAATAATAATGTCCAGGTTGGAGCGGGGGCTGGCCAGGTCCCCTGGCACACCCTCGACCTGGAAGCTGGTGAACTCCTGGAACTGGGGCAGCCACCAGATGGCCTCCTTGCGCTTCTGGTCCACATGGAAGATCTTGTCACTGTCCCAGTCAAACGTGCACTCGCCCGGGCTCCTACTCTGAGTTCAGGCTCTGCTGCATTAGCTCCACCACCAACAGCACCTCTTCCGCTGCCCCAGGAGGGAAGGAAACGGAGAGGGGCTGAGCAGGAGCTAGAAAGACTTCTGGGATGTCCCAGCTCTTAACACTGGTGAAAGTTCTCCAAGCAAATCCGATCTATCTTAATTCCATCTCAGGAAACTAGAGCACTTGCATGAGTCTGAGTCCTTTTACTAGTGGTGACAGCCCTATATAGAGTACATTTTATTAGTGGCGACAGCCCTATAGGGTACTTGTATGGGTTGCATCTCGTGGGCCCATTCCACCAACGCTTTCTGTATTCTGGTGCAATGTGGTGCACATTTGTAAGAGCAGCTTCCTTTATCAGTAAGAGGTGCCCTGCACCACAGGATGGTGTCTGTTAGAGGAACACATCCCTGGGATCTGGCCCAAAGTCTCGCCTTCGTCCTAAGAGTCTCCATTCTGGACCTGAGGCGATAAGCCAGCTGCCTGGATGATCTGTTTGTATACTGCCATCAACAGCACTCGGCAGCCTTCAGAGAATTCCCACACCACTGCCAACTTTTACTAACGCTTATTTCACGTGAGCAATGATTATTTGATCAAGAACAGGGTGATTGGGGTAATCGATTCCCAGCTTTGATTTCAGACGTGCTTTGATTGAGGTGGCCTCTGTCAACAGCCTCACTGGACTCAAGATGTTCAAGAGCACACTTAAAATGGGGGGCTCGCACATACATGATCTTGCAATGACTGGCTAACGATGACATTAATAAGAAACGAGATTCACGTGGGTAGCCGTGTTCATCTGAAGCTGTAGAACTAAGTTTGAGTCTTGAAGAAATTTTGTTTCAATTTGTCTGAAAGCTTACACCTTACATAAAACTTTGCTGGCCTTAAAGGTGCCATTGGACTCAAAACTTTGTTCTACAAGAAACAAGGTCTAAGTCCAGTGGCACCTTTAAGATCAACAATTCTGGGTATATTTATTTATTTATTTATTTATTTATTTATTTGCATTTATATTCTGCCCATCCTCCGGGCTCAGGCCGGGTAACATCATTATAATAAATACAATTTCAGTTTAAAACACGATAAAACATAACCATTGAAACAAGTGTGCATGCGTATTTATAACCAGAACTAAACTTTGTTGGTCTTAAAGGTGCCACTGGACTCAAAACTTTGTTCTGCTGCTTCAGACCAAAACGGCTACCCCACCTGAATCGGTAATTACAAGATCGTATAGACAAAATCCCACCAAAGAGAAGCAACAGCAGAGGCCCAAACTGAAAATAAAGAAGTGGGATCTGCTCTTGTTCAGTTAAGGGGGAGTACAATATAACTGTTATCTTTTCTTTACTGTGCATGGTTGAACACAGGATTCATTTTGAAGACAAATCCGGCAAGAGTGAGAAGCAAGCTGGCTGGATTCAGGGTGAGGCTGGGCAGAGGATAAAACAGCCGCGTGTTGCTCCATCTCGTCCCCCAATCCAGATTTCCCACTGTGTGGCTGCCACTTTGCTAAGATTTTGCTAGCAACTTTTTCCCTTTTGAAATCTGGGGTCATCGATACGCTTTGTCCATGGGTCCCAGGCTGGAAGAGAGGTTTCCTTTGCCTGGATAGGAAAAGGGTCATCTGGGATGACACTCAACCAAGCAATGTAT